CCAACATATGACGTTTTAAGAGAACAACTGGAATCATGACAGACAGCTGGACTGATATCAGGACCATGAAACTTATAAATTTCATATCATCTTTAGAATGCATTAATAACATAGCCATACAAATACAACTTCAGAAAAAATGTAATATAACAACCAAAATTATGACTAATAACATGTTAGATTTCTATGAGTTTACATGATTTTTGAAACATATCAACAACATACCCGTAAATGTATTTGAAAGAAGACCTAGTATCACTTTTCGTTTGACAACACTTCCCTGCAGTTTACCAAAGAAGCCTAATTATTTAATGTCTCAAGAAGATGAGAGATATGTGAGTCTCTCCAGGAGCACAACTAGAAAATCCGAAAGTTAGTTCTAGGTCAAAAAGACTTAATTTGGTATTCTGGTATTTGGGAAACTTACCAAATATGTCAAAAAGTTAAAAACACTTGATCAAAACAGAATCACAGGGCCAGGTGCGGTGGCTCATGCCTGTAATTCCAGCACTTTGGGAGGTTGAGGCAGGTGGATCACTTGGGGTCAGGAGTTTGAGACCAGCCTGGCCAACATGATGAAACCCTGTCTCTACTAAAAGTACAGAAATTAGCCAGATGTGGTGGCGGGTGCCTGTAATCCCAGCTGCTGGGGAGACTGAGGCAGGAGAATCGCTTGAATCTGGAAGGTGGCAGTTGCAGTGAGCTGAGATCACACCATTGCACTCCAGCCTGGGCAACAGAGTGAGACTTGTCTCAAAAAAAAACACTACAAGTCATGTAAAATATTAACCATTCATTTAAGCAGAGTGATAGTTAAAATACTTCAAAAGCAAGTACGGAAAATTACATGAATGTAAAAGCCTTAACCCATTTAAAGCTCAGTTTTCCTGAGTAATCAAAAACTTAATAAGAAACAAATCTAGCTTGATTAAATGTAAAAATGTCTTGTGTTTAGGCCAGTTACCAAAAGTAAAGAAAAACCTCCTGCTGTGTGATTGCTTCTCCTTAGATAACTCAGAAGTCAAACCTGAAGAGAAGGGTACTTGAATTTAATTAGACACAGGAAGAGTGCGTCCAGGGTTACGAGTGTTCACTTTATTATAGAGGACTGTAAACAAGAAAAGGAGTGCCTGGAGCAGGGAATTACATGACTCTTAGTAACAGCACAGGAATTTTCTTGGTTACACAGAATAATCCAGACACATCAGGAAAAGCTGGCCAGGCCAGTGGCTCATGCCTGTAATCCCAGCACTCTGAGAGGCCAAGGCAGGAGGATTGCTTGAGCCTAGGAGTTCGAGACTAGCCTGGGCAACATAGGAAGACCCCCCATCTCTACAAAAAATGGGGGGAAAAAAGAAACAGATTTCAGGATTAAACATCAAAACCTCTTGCAGTTTTCCTAAGGGCAAATCAATACTTTAAGAAAACCTTGTTGTTCTAACATAGGTGATATGGTTTGGCTCTGTGTCCCCACCCAAATCTCCACTCCAATTGTAATCCCTATAATCCCACATGTTGAGGAAAGGACCTGGTGGGAGGTGATTGGATCATGGGGGCAGTTTTCCCCATGCTATTCTTGTGATAGTGAGTGACTTCTCAGGAGATCTGAGGGTTTTGTCAGGCAGTTTCACTGCTCTTGCTTGCTCTGTCTCGCCTGCCACCATGTAAGACATGCGTCTTCCCCTCTGCCATGACTGTAAGTTTCCTGAGGCCTCTCCAGCCATGAGGAAGTGTGAGTCACTTAAACCTTATTTCTTTATAAATTACCCAGTCTCGGGTAGTATCTTTATAGCAGTGCAAGAATGAACGAATATAATAGGGGACCAAGATTTTTAGTTTTGTGCTATTTACTCTGATAGGAAATCTCATGAAGGCTCTGGACCAAAATTTTGGGTAAACAGTTTCCATGCAGTTTAAAAATAAAAATAAAAAACGCCATTTCTACCCCCACCCACCTCGTTTTTGTTTGTTTTTTGTTTCTCATTTTCAAATGAGGTTAGGGCTAAATTTTCAATTGTTTACATTTTAGCTAGGTGGGCCAGGCATGGTGGCTTATGTCTGTAATCCCAGCACTTTTGGAGTCTGAGACAGGTGAATTACTTGAGCTCAGGAGTTCTAGACCAGCCTGGGCAACAGAGTAAAACCCCTCTCTACAAAACAATGACAACAGAATTCGTCATGTCTGGTGGTGCATGTCTGTAGTCCCACCACTGTACTCCAGGCTGGGCAACAGAGCAAGACCCTGTATCTGTATCTGTATCTGTATCTGTCTATAAAAGGAAAAACATTTTAGTTAGGATTGACTGCATTGTATAAGAATCTCCAGGTAGCCTTGAACTAGCAGCAAATGTCTTTTGGTTGCTGGTCTTGTTTGGTTGGTTAGAGATGTGGGCAGGAAGCATTGGAGCAGGGTTTTGGTTTTATTTTGTTTTTGGCTTTTTCTTTTTGGACTCTGCATGGCAGAAAAAGTAATACAATTTTTATGCTGGACAGAGATACCTTACATTATTGCTCTGAGTTCCAGCTTTTGACCTCTGTAATTTGAGAGCCTAACTTTTATAAACATTATAAATATTTATGTAGTTCTTTTTCTTTTAGATTATTAATTTTTCAATTAAGTGCTCCATCACCATAAGCAATTGTTAGTCAAACCTAAACTGATGTCTCTAAAAGGTGTCTAGGTTGTTGGTTACCATGGAGCTGTTGTAATTTCTAACGCCGTTAATTTGAAAGCCCTTTAAGACTGAAAAAAATCTTGGCTAGAATGCCATAAGCAGTGAGTTTCATCTCAACACCAGCAGAAGAGTCAGAAAATTCAAAATAGGCAAAAAGGAAAAAGGGGTGGGAGGAGAGATAGAGACCTTCGAAGACTCCATGCTAACTCTGTTGCTGCAAGGTTGTTTTTTCGAAAGGGTTGCTTTTTTAGAGAGTTCAAATAATTGCCATTGAGCTCTGGACTTTCCTTGGTGTCATTTTGCCGATCACTTAAAAAATGTGCATGAGAATGGGCCACTACATGTAGCTGGCTGGAATCCCAGCACACCTGGCATACTTTAATGTTTTAGAATCTCATTCAATTCTTATTAATCTCTTGAGAGCAAAGAAAATCTACAAATCCAGCCAAGGAATGTCAGGAGTTTAGGCCGTCTTTGAGATGGCGGCGGCTGCCCTAGTGGCCTTTAGTTAGCCATTCTGCACCCATCATTTAGAATGTTTATTTTTGTTCTCAGAACATTTAAAAAAACCATCAAGGGGAAAGACTCGAATCAAGTCAAAGGAACCAAGGTAAGAGTTCACAAAAATTTTAACCTAGGTGTCCAGATAGAACAAAATATTAAACTAGGCATGCAGATCAAAAGTGAATTCACAAGTAAAGACATGCCTTACAGAGAGAATGTTAATTCTGTACAAATCAGAGCATTCAGCCCAGAAAGATTTATGCCTTTGCACCTGCAAGGACTTCGCAGAAAAGACAAAAAGCCTGTTTATCATCTCGGGCCGGATGTGCAGTCCTTTATCAAGGCAGCCTCATCCAAGTCACATTCTGAGTAGCATCAAAAAGCCTCCAACACAAAGAGAAAGGCTCAGCCTGAGAAAGGACTCACCAGGGTGAAAAATCAAGTTGTGGAAGTGAAGAGCTCAAAGAGTAAATACTGCACAATGGTTCCAAAAAATGGGAATAAAAAATGATTTCTTCCGATGGTGATATTTTTCTGGTCCCATTTCTGACACCATATGTATCAGGCTAAGTAACAGAGAGAGAGTCACGCAAAGAAGAAGTAACTTATCCAAGAATAAAGCATTGAAATGGGAATACACATACCACAGTAAATTGCATGCATATTCAGGTACAGGAAGACAAAGGGTTTTAAAGGGAAAATTAGGAGGATGACAGAATTATTTTGAAAGAATTATCCCGGGCTACAAAGATCAATAGCGAGGGTGATGCTGGTCCGAGGCTAGATAGGCAGTTGCTGGGCAGACGTCCTTGCAGAAGTATTTTTTGTGTCAGGTTGTGCTGGTCTTTGTGCAAGATTTTGAGTTTTGCAGAGTCTTCTATCATATTTTTTGTTATTAGATGTACGTGGGAACCTCCCTTCATGGCCTTTGCTGGTTCCATTCGTCAGGGCTTTTCGTTTGTTTTTCTAACACAAGTGCCTTCGTTTTGATTCTAACAACGTTTATAACTCCACCAAAATTAATCTGTGAGAAACAGTCTATGGTACAATACTACAGGTGCCTTCAAGTTTACATTTTACAACTAGGTTTTTGATTTTTCTTTTTTTCTTTTTTTTTTTTTTTTGAGATGGAGTCTCGCTCTTTCACCTAGACTGGAGAGCAGTGGTGCGATCTTGGCTCACTGCAACCTCTGCCTCCCAGGTCCAAGTGAGTCTCCTGCCTCAGCCTCCCGAGTAGCTGGGATTACAGGTGTCCACCACCACGCCCGGCTAATTTTTGTATTTTTCGTAGAGCCGGGGTTTCACCACGTTGGCCAGGCTGGTCTCGAACTCCTGACCTCAGGAGATCCACTTGCCTCGGTCTCCCAAAGTGCTGGGATTGTAGGCGTGAGCTGCCGCACCTGGCCATTTTCATTCATTTTCACTGAGTGAAAGGATGGGATAGCACGTGGAGTCTCGCCAAATGCCGTGGAAGCTTTTCAGGAAGGAGGGAAGCTGAGTGGCCATTGGGTGTGGTGCAGCTTTTCAGGAAGGAGGGAAGCTGAGCGGTCATTGGGTGTGGTGCAGGCCGTTCTCTTTCAACCTCTCAACACCAGTCAGAGTTCCAGGGAGGAAGACCTGGGGTATGTATCGGTCTTATCAAGAAAAGCTGTTTGTTTTTCTGGTTTATTTTATCCCCAAAGCTTAAAAGCCCCACCAGGTTATTCTTTTTAAAAATATAAATGGAAGAGTAGCATTGCCTCTCACAGGACTGCTGAGAACCACACTCGCTGATGTCACTCACAACTAATACAGCCATTTCCCACGTCACTGATTTTCTAGGGGAAGGTGCCCAGCCCCCAGGAGCACAATCTGTCCTGGCCATGTTTGTCCACCGAACTGCAACTCACACTCCGCAGGTCCTGGAGCCCACGAAAGACCCCCACAGGGAGCTCCCAGCCACGCACAGGTCCTGGGCCCCGGCGAGCCAGCCATCACCACTTCACAGGTGAGCTCTGTCAAAACCGGCAGCTTCTAAGTGCCATCAGCTACCAGTGTGCCGTGAAGTAGTCCTCAACCTGGTTGCTATACACAGGCGTTTTACTCATTTCACTTTATTGCACTCAAAGATACTGCATTTTTCACAAATTGAATTAGTGGCAAGTCTGCCTTTAGCAAGTCGATTGGCACCATTTTCCCAACAGCTCCTGCCCACTTCATGTCTCTGTCACATTTTGGCAATCCTTACAGTCGTCCAAACTTTTCATTGCTATCGCCTATGGTGATCTGTCATCGGTGATCTCTGATGTTCCTGCTGCAATTGTTTTGGAGCACCATAGCTGCCCACGTGAGACACCAAACTTAATTGTGATCTGACAGCTCCCTTGACCTAGCGTTCCCGTCTCTCCTCTCCTCAGCCTCCCTGTTCCTTCAGACAGAACAATATTGAAATCTGCCCAGTTAGCAACCTTACAATGTCCTTTCCATGTTTCATTGAAAGGGAGAGTTACAGGTCCCTCACTTTAAATCAAAAGCTAGAAATGATTAAGCTTGGTGAGGAAGGCATGTCAGAAGCCGAGACAGGCCAAAAGCTTCTCACACCAAATGGTTAGCCTGGTTGTGAATGCAAAGGACAAGTTCTTGAAGGAGATTAGAAGTGCGACTCCAGTGCACACAAATGATAAGAAAGTAAAACAGCCTTACTGCAGAGACAGAAAATTTCAGTGGTTTAGATAGAACATCAAACCAGCCATGACACGCCCTGAAGCCACAGCCTCGTCTAGACTGAGGCCTTAACTCCCTTCAGTTCCCTGAAGGCTGGAGAGGCGAGGAAGCTGCCTCTCTCCACTTTCTTCAGAGAGAAGAAAGGTTGGAAACCAGCAGAAGTTCATTCATGAGGTTGAAGGAAAGAAGCTGTTTCTGTAACATAAAAGCGAAGGTAAAGCAGCAGGTGCTGGTGGAGAAGCTGCGGCAAGTTCCCCAGAAGACCCAGCTGAGACCACTGATGAAGGAGGCTGCACTAAACGACAGATTTTAAGTGCAGATAAAACGGCCTTCTATTGGAAGAAGATGCCATCTAGGACTTTCACCGGTGGAGAGGAGAAGTCAGTGCCTGGCTTCAAAGCTTCCAAGGACAGGCTGACCCCAATGTTGAAGCCAGTGCCCAGGTGCCATCTGAAAATCCCAGGGCCCTTAAGAATGAGACTAAGTCTCCTCTGCCTGTGCTCCATCCATGGAACAACAAAGCCTGGATGACAGCACCTGTGTTCACAGCGTGGTTTGCTGACCATTCTAAGCCCACTCTTGAGACCTATTGCTCAGAAAGATTCTTTTCAGAACAATTCCTGCTCATGGTCACCCAAGAGCTCTGATGGAGACGTGCGGGAGATGAATGTTGTTTTCCTGCCTGCTGACACCACATCCACCCTGCAGCCCAGGGATCCAGAATGATTTTGACTTTTGAGTCTTATTATTTCAGAAATACATTTTCTAAGGCTATAGTTGATTCCTCTGATGAATCTAGGCAAAGTCAACTGAAAACCTTCTGACAGGAATTCATCATTTTAGATGCCATTAGGAACATTCATGATTTATGGGAGGATGTCAAAATATCAACCTTAACAGGGGTTAGATGAAGTTGATTCCATCCCTCATGGATAACTTTGGGGAGTTTAAGGCTTTAGTGGGGGAAATAACTTCAGACGTGGTGGAAATAGCAAGAGAACTAGAATTAGACGATTAGATGGGGCCTGAAGATGGGACTGAACTGCAATCTCAGGATGAAATTTGAACGGACGAGGAAACGCTCCTTATGGATGAGCAGAGAAGGTGGTTTCTTGAGATGAAATCTGCTCCTGATGAAGACACTGTGAAGACTGTTGAAATGAAACAAAGAATTTAGAATATTCCATAAACGAGTTGATAAAGTGGTGGCAGGGTGTGAGCGGATTAACTCCGATTCTGAACAGAACTCTGCTGTGGGTAAAACGCTACCCAGCAGCATCACACACTCCGTGGAAGGAAGAGTTCATCCACACAGCAAAGTTCATTGCTGTCCTATTTTTAAAAATGGCCACAGCCACCCCAGCCGTCAGCCGCCACCAGCCTGGTCAGTCAGCAGGTCAGCACTGAGGTAAGACCCCTCCAGCAGCAAAAAATTCGGACTCGCTGAAGGGGCAGACGATCGTCAGCAGTTTTTAGCGATAAATTACTTTTCAGTTAAGGCATGTGCATTTTTTAAGACATAATGGTATTTTACACTTAATAAGACTACAGTATAGTGTAAACATAATTTTATAAAGCACCGGGAAACCATAGCGATTTATGTGACTTGCTTGATTGTGATATTCACTTTATTGCTGTGGTCCGGAGCCGCAGCAGCAGCCTCTGAGATATGCCTGTGCCGCTGTGTTGGGGTGGGCACCTTACACATTTAAAGCAGCCATTTCCCCGTGTTGTTTTTATTCTAATATTTTTAGTATATTAATAAACAACATAAGAACACATGCCCTTCTTTCAGAAAATCCAAAGTATAAAATTCACAGTTATAGAACATAAAATAGAGCATGAATGTTGGCCTTAAAACAGCACAAACCTCCTGAAGTAGTGGTTCTTAAACTTCAGTGTGCCCCACGGTCACACAGGGAACTCTTCAAAATGTCCATGGACCTGAACGAATGAGCCCTCCCAGGAGATCAAGTGGAGGTGGCTCAAGATATCACTCCCCAAAACTCGCTCCCTCAGCAGGCAGTGGTGAGGGCAACATGAGCAGGGCCTTCCTCCACCTCACCTGGGCCGCAGCTGTGATGCAAAAGATCCCAGACCTTCCTCCACCTCACCTGGGCCGCAGCTGTGATGCAAAAGATCCCAGACCTTCCTCCACCTCACCTGGGCCGCAGCTGTGATGCATGTGAGGAGGAGCCTTCCTCCGTCTCTCCTGGGATGCAGCTGGGATGCACGTTGCTGGGGGAAAATGGCAAGGAAGCCAGTGAAAAACACTGGGTAAGAATTGGTCCATTAGGCCCAGGGTATTAAAGTGTCCTGCTAGAAGGAAGACTCAATCCTGCCAGGGCATCACTTCTGCTGGCCTTGCTGCTTTCACCGGCGAAAGAAGCTGCTGGCGCTGAACTGTGGGCTCTCTGTGACTGACGTGGTTTCTTTTTGGCATACCTTGGAGCCACCACAGTCTAGAGCAAAACAAAAGCAGGTCTATTCTGTCTCAGCGGGAGTTCCCTGACAACCTTTCGTAGGCAGAGCAGCAGGGAGTGCAGTCTTGCCGGCCTTCTCTGTGCAGGGCAAGGTCTGGGCCAGGAGGCTCTGCAGCTGAGACCGGGGCAGTCCTGTCTGGTCATCCCCACACAGACATCCCACCCTCCCACTGGCCCGCAGAGCAGCTGCACCTGCCGCTCTTCTGTGGACCAAGGGCATGGCAGACGGCAATGCTGTTTCACTTGGAATCAGACCAACTTAACGCGGTCTGGAGTCAGAGGACTGCCGCTGTCATTTGCCTTGCCTCCTTTCTCTGAGTATCACAAGGGCCTCATGGACTCAGACCTTTCAAGGAGCAGTGTGGAACCCCCGTGTTCTCTGACCCCCGCCTCTGTTTCCTTGGCCCCTATCTCCATCCTGCCATCCCTCACAGTCTCCCTGGCCTAGCTTCTTTCAAAGCCCTGGGTCTTCAGGCCTGGCCAGGTGCCAAGCGTGGCCACTTTCCTCCAGGGTTTCCAGCTTCCGGGCTCCCCGTACAGTACAGAGCAGACTGTGTGTAATGTATCAGATGAGCTATGAAGACTACCCCTACAATGAGCCCATCAGCTCACCTGAAATCCAGGGTGTCACCAACATCACAACGACCGCTGGAGAGCTCCCCATCCCACTGTGCCCTTTGCTTCCCCACCAGAGGATCCACCAACCTCACCCTGGTATTGATCATGTTCCTTTTCTACAGGAAAGAATAATGTATATGTACATACACACCCACACATATACACATACATATACATACACACATATATACATACATATACATACATCCAGATATTGTTTAGTTTGGCTTGTTTCTGAGGTTTATAAAAATAGCGTCATATATATTCTTCAGTGATGGCTGTTGCACTAATCATTGTGCATCCGCATCTCACCCATATGCTTTTGTTTGGCTGTGGTTGGTTGGTTGTGATTGCTGTGTAATATCCTATTATGCGGCTGTAACAGAATGTGTTCATGCTATCTTTATACGTAGACATTTGGTGTAACATAATGTGTTCCTGAGTCTTTATACATGGACATTTAGTTGCTTTCATGGGAAGTACTGCAGTGAACATTCTGCATGATTCTTGGTGCACCTGAGTTAAAGCCACCGGAGGGTGTGCGTGTGGAGGAGGGTGTGCGTGTGGAGGGGACTGCAGAATCATAGAGTGTGCAAATGTTCAGATGAATGAAGTGACAACCAATTTTTTGAAATGGTTATTTTAATTTATAATCCCACCAGCAACAAAAGAGTTACTTTCCATCCACATCCTCAACAAGTCTGTGTTATCCAACTTGGTCTCTGCCATGCCAGGTAAAAATCTGTGTTAAAATGAAAACTTGTAGTTCTGATTGGCAGTCTCCTAATGACCATATGGTTTAGTTTATTTTTCTATTTTTTATCTGCCACTTGAGTTTTCTTTCCTGTGAAATGCCTGTTCACGTTTGTTGCTCATTTTTCTGTGGGGGTGTTTGTCTTTTTATTACTGATTTGTAGTAGTTCCCTGTGGTTTCTGAAGGAAACTATTTTATTGTTTATATGTAACTAATGTAGTCTATCAATTTTGGGTTTGTCTTTTTCATTTTCTTTATGAGATATTTTGATGAACAGAGAATGCCTTCCCTAACATGAGGATTTTAAAGATACCTTTCTTTAATACTTTTAAAATGTATGAAATTTGCCCTTCATTGCTAACCATTTACTTAATGAGAAATGGATGTTTGGTATATGATGTAAGGCAGGAATCCAATTCATTTTCCATATGAATAGCCAATCATCCCAGCCCTATATATTGAAAAACTTCTGTTCTCATTGATCTGTGATGTCATCTCTGATATATACCAGTCTCCTTTTTTTTTTTTTTTTTTTGAGACGGGGTCTTACTTTGTTGCCCAGGCTGGAGTGCAGTGGTGTGATCTCAGCTCACTGCAACCCTTGCCTCGCTCATTCAAGCAACTCTCAGGCCTCAGCCTCCTGAGTAGCTGGGATTGCAGTCACGTGCCACCAAGCCTGGTTAATTTTTTTGTATTTTTTGGTAGAGACGGGGTTTCACCATGTTGGTCAGGCTGGTCTCGAACGTCTGACCTCAAGTGATCCACCTGCCTCAGCCTCTCACAGTGCTGGGATTACAGGCGTGAGCCACGCACCCGGCCAGGCCAGATTTTCTATCCGGGCTTCTACGGCACTGTCGGAATTGCTAGAGCTCCTAAGTCATGACATCTGGGAGGACCAGGGCCCCACGATTCTTTACAAGTTTCTTCAGAAGTTTTGCGGCTGTTCTTGGTATTTGTTGTTTCATAACTTGTAGAATTAATGTGTCAAGTTTATGGATAAAACCTGTTAGGGCCTTAACAGAGCCGTGTGGAGTCTCGGGCAGTTTGAGGAGAGCTGGCAGTTCTGGGATTTGAATTTTCCCGTCTGTCAACTCGGTTTACCATTTCACTTGCTTAGGTTCATTTCAAAGTCCTCCAATGAGATTTTATGATTTTCTCCATATAGCACTTGCTCTTTTTTGTTTCGTGTGTATTACTAGTTACTTTATTTTCTGTTCCTATTGTACACGATAGCTTTTTTAAAACTGCCATTTTCCGGCTGATTTTTGCTGGTTTACAGAACTTCTGTGGATTTTCATGAACTGTCATCACGCACTCACCTTACTAAGATCTTTTATTTCTAATAGTATATCAGTGGATTATTTGCAGTTTCCACTGTAAAAAAATATCATTTATAAATGATGACTGTTTTATGCTTCTCTTCCAAGTTTTGTAGTTTTTATTTCTTTTCTTGCATTGCTGTGGTAGTTAACCCATAGTGCAGTGATTAACAGAATCGGTTATAGTGGGTTTCTTTGTCTTATTCCAGACGGTAAAGGGAGGGTTTCCGACATTTCTCCATCAGGAAAGGTTTATGCTAAGGGTTTTTCTGGCATGCCTTTTCTCAGGTTAAAGAAACTTCAGTTCATCCCTAGTCTCCTAAAAGATTTTTATGACTATTTTAGAATAGAATCGAATGGTTGTCTGCCTCTGTTGAGATGATCATATGGTTTTTCTCTTTCATTTTGTTAAGATAGGGAAATACATATATTTGCATATGTATAATGTATACATTATTCTATTTCAAAAACCAGATTCAGTTATGCATTTCTGGGATAAAACAAATTCCATAAGTAGATTTTTAGTTAGCTAATATTTGACTTAATCTTTTTATGGCCATGTTTACAAGTGAGAAACGTCTGTGTTCCTCTCTTGTGTTATCCTTGCTGAATTTGAAATCAAAGGTATATTGGGCTCATAGAATGAGTTGGGAAGCTTTCCTCTTTTCTGTCTCTAATTCCATTTTTGAAAACATTTTTATAAGTGTGGGATGACCTTTTTTAATGTTTGATATAACCTTAAACCTTTCTTGTCTTGGTATGTGTTTGTGGGAAAATTTTAATCTACTGATTAGATTTCTTTCAGAGTTATAGGTCTGTTCAGACCTACCTCATCTCAAAATGAGATGTTTCACTTTTGGAAATTATATTTTCTAGGAATTTGCCAATTTCTTTTGATTCATTATTGTTCTTTTTCATCATCTTAAATTGGATGTTTAGGTCATTAATTTTAAGCCTGTGTTCATTTGAATCAAACCTCAGAGCTATAAATGCCCTACTAGATTCCACTTTTCCTTCCTCTCACAAGTTTTAAAATAGTCAGTCAAGTATGGCTTTATTTCTATCGCAATCTTTTTCTTTGATGAAGGAGTTAGTTAGAAGTACATCTTAAAATTTCTGAATGTATAGGAAATTTCTTTATCTTTGTATTGTCAATTTCTTTTTTCTTTTTTTAATTTTGAGACAGAGTCTCACTCTGTCGCCCAGGCTGGAGTGCAGTGGCGCTATCTCGGCTCACTGCAAGCTCTGCCTCTCAGGTTCACGCCATTCTCCTGCCTCAGCCTCCCGAGTAGCTGGGACTACAGGCGCCGCCACCACGCCCGGCTAATTGTTTTGTATTTTTAGTAGAGACAGGGTTTCACCGTGTTCGCCAGGATGGTCTCCATCTCCTGACCTCGTGATCCTCCTGTCTTGGCCTCCCAAAGTGCTGGGATTACAGGCGTGAGCCACCGCGCCTGGCCTGTATTGTTGATTTCTAAATTAATTGCACTATGGTTAGATAACATAAAATGTATGATACTATTATTTTGAAATCTAATGCAGTTAGCATAAAGCCCAGTATATGGTTAATATTTGCTTCAAAGGAATGTGTATTATTTTCTGATTTGGTTCAGCATTCTATATCTATCTAATACATTAAGCTTGTTGAATGTATTATTCACATTTACTATATGTTTACTTTTTTCTAATTGAAAAAGCAATAGTCTAAAGAGATGCGTCAAAATCTCTCACTTTGAAAGTACATTTGACAGTTTCGCCTGCAGTTTTATCAGCTTTGCTTGCATGTGTGTGTCTTCCCTCCCTCTCTCCCTCTTTGTGTCTCTCTCTGTGTGTGTGTGTGTGTGTGTGTGTGTGTGTGTGTGTGTGTGTGTGTCGTTCCTGTCTCTCTCTATATATGTGTGTGTGTATTTTTTCTCCTTTATCACATATTTTTCCTTTGGGAATCTATGGAGATCTGCTTTTTTGTCTGTTTTTTAAATTTTTGTTCACTCCATTGTTCTTTTGGTGATCACCATTGAAATTTTACTTTGCATTTCAAATATAATAAATTTAAGATTAATACTTGAGTTTCCTTCTCAACAACATAAATCTTAGATCACTCTTCTCCAGACTTTCAAACTATCATTGATCAATATTTTAGCTCTATAATTTTTATAACTCCCAAGTTAGATATTGTGGTTATTATTTCGTAGACAATGTTTGTTTAGATTTAACATATATTTAACAATTTGTCATTTCTTCTGATATTTTATAACTTCCTTTTTTTTAAGTAACGAATATAAGGAAAAAGATTTATCTCAATGTAGACGAACTGGTTCTGTTAAAACAATGTATATCTAATAGACATCTAAATAGTTATGTAATATGTAATCTATATGTAATACATGCTACATAATACATGCTACATAATGCACACTACATAATACACACCACGTAATACAAGCTACGTAATACATGCTACACAATACATGCTACATAATACACACCACATGATACACACTACACAATACACACCACATGATACACACTACATAATACATGCTACATAATACACACTATGTAATACTACACAATACATGCTACATGATACACACTACATAATACGTACCACATGATACACACTACATAATACACTACATAATACATGCTATATGATACACGCTACATGATACACACTACATATACACACCACATGATACACGCTATATGATACACGCTACATAATACAAGCTACATGATACACGCTACATGATACATGCTCCATAATACACGCTATGTAATACACGCTACATAATACACACTACATAATACACGCTATATAATACACACTACATAATACACACTACACACCACATGATATGCTATGCATAAGTCAGTCATGCCCTTATGGGATGAGTTTCCACCTGCTTAGAGCACATGCTTTAGAACTCCTTTAGGAGAGTTTTGTTGGAGTTTAACTCTCAGTTTTGTTTCTTTGAGAATGTTTTATTTGCTCTCATGGAAAGATGGTTTGGGTAGACAGCAGTAGAATGACAATCTGTTTTTAGAAGACATGATTCCACTGGATTCCAGTTTCTATTTTTGCTGTTAAAAATCTGGGCATGGCGCGGTGGCTCACGCCTGTAATCCCAACACTGGGAGGCCGAGGAGGGTGGGTCACGTGAGGTCAGGAGTTCAAGACCAGCCTGGCCAACATGGTGAAATCCTGTCTCTACCAAAAATACAAAAATTAGCCAGGCATAATAGCACACTCCTGTAATCCTAGCTACTCAGGAGGCCAAGGCATGAGAATGGCTTGAACCTGTGAGGTGGAAGTTGCAGTGAGCCAAGACTGTGCCACTGGACTCCAACCTGGGTGACAGAGCAAGACTGTCTTGAAAAAAACCAAAACAAAAATAAAAAAGAAAAGAAAATCTGTTAGTCTTATTGTTGGCTTCATTGGCGATCTGTCTTCTGTTTGTGTTCGGTGTTGTGAATTTTTTTTTTGAGATGGAGTTTCACTCTTGTCACCCAGACTGGAGTGCAATGGAGTGATGTCGGCTCGCTGCAACCTTGGCCTCCCGCCTCAGCCTCCCAAGTAGCTGGGATTACAGGCGCCCACCACCACACCCAGTTAATTTTTGTATTTTTAGCAGAGGTGGGGTTTCACCATGGTGGCCAGGCTGATCTCAAACCTGACCTCAGGTGGTCCACCCACCTCGGCCTCCCAAAGTGCTGGGATTACAGGCATAAGCCACTGCACCCGGACTCAGTGTTCTGACACTTTCTCTCAGTGTGTCTAAGGTAGGTTTCCTTTTATTTACTCTATTTACTCTATTTGGAATATATTGTGTATTCATGACTCTCATCAATTCTTGCAGATTTTCAAGTATCAAATCTTTAATCAATCATTTTTTTTCCTCTTCCTTTTTCATCTCATTTCCTGGAACTATAAATAGATATCCGTTAGACCTTCTGCTATAATCTCTCCCTCTTAATCTTTCTAATATTTTTTGCCTCCCTGTTTTTCTGTTATGCATTCTGGACAACTTCTTCAGATCTAACCACTAATTTTGATGCCTCTGCGGGTCTGAGTCTGTTCTGTGTTTGGGTTGTGCTGACTTTTGCTCATGGACGTGTTCCTCGGCGTGTGTTTGCTGCTGTTTGGCCGTGAGCTCAGGTTTGGCTGATGTCACTCTGTGAGAACCTGGTGGTCTTTACCACTGTCTCAAGCTGGCGACCTCAGTGGGGAGCACATTTGCCTCCTCT